CAATTCAATTCAATTCAATTTTCACCTTTGAATTTCATTTTATTAGATAGTGCCCAATGTTCAAACCCATTAAATAGGAAGCAACGGCAGGCTTTTAGTTTGCGCACTAAAGGGAAAGACATGTGCATGTACACACAGACAGACAGACAGGCAGACAGACAAACAGAATTACCTGCTGCCAAACTGGAAAAGATCCCGAGGGCATGAGTGTCATCAACCCACTGCAACTTAAATCCACTCTCTCTGAAAGAGACAGATCAGCGTTACAATTCTTTAAGTGTCATAGTTTCATCGGAGTAAGATTTCATGCAAAAGCAGATCCAACGCTTTCATCTCCCTCCAAGCGTTTTCTGTATTCCTGCCCAGTAAGCAGAACGGGAGGCGCTGGGTTGCTCGCAAGCAGAGAGTAGCACCGAACTCAGCGATATGGGGCAGAGGTGGGTTTCTCATATTTTTACCACCGGTTTGCCGCACACCGAAAATATGAACGCGGGCGCACATTTTACTCACGCACACACCCTCTGCGCATGTGCACGGCCTCCAACGCATGCACTTTGCTCATGCGTGTGGCTTACAAACCATGGCTAAATAGGACGGCATAGAGTCGGGGCAGGTGGGGGGGTCCACCCTCACCCACAGGTCGCCACTACCGGTTTGAACGAACCGGTCCAAACCGGCTGAATGCCACCACTGATATGGAGGTTTCAAAATGGGGTGGCATGGATTCCCACATGCAAAGCTGTCTTGGTACAACTTTAGCAGGCGTGATGCATCTGGTGATGTGGCTAGACTAATATTTCCAGCCTTGTTCATTTCCTGGCATGTGGACTTCAAATCCCAGAATTCCAGAGCCAGCTTGTCCACTGATGGGAATTTGGGGAGTTGAAGTCCACACAACTGAAAGTTGCCAAGGTTGGGAAACATATGGTTAGGTTTTTCTTTATTCGGTCATAGGCCAACATGAGAATACAGAAATCACAGTTAATTTTAAAAACAAAGTACAAAAGAAGGGGATATATATAGAATAGCACTAGCAGTATAGAAGTCTAAGTGCTTTTACAGCCCTCTCTAAGTGGTTTAGAGAGTCAGCCTCTTGTCCCCCAACAATCTGGGTCCTCATTTTACTCACCTCCGAAGGATGGAAGGCTGAGTCAACCTTGAGCCTGGTGAGATTCGAATTGCCAAACTGAAGGCAGCTGGCAGGCAGCAGAAGTAGCCTGCAGTACTGCACTCTAACCACTGAGCCACCACGGCTCATATTTTAGAATATCTAAAATATCTGGCAGGCAGGGTTAGAAGCAAAGCTCTAGACCACAGGTGTCAAACAGGCCGCATCACAATGCCATCACGTGATGTTTCGTGATGCTTTCCCCCTTCACGGAGCTGGGATGGGCGTGGCCTGTGCGTGACCATCAGGCCTGCGGGCCGCCAATATGACTCCCCTGCTCTAAACTAAAGGAGACTACTGAGCAGTACTTGACTGTAGGCAGAGGACGGAGTCAGATTGAGATAATAATAGCATTTTATGATAAAACAAATCAAAATGACCAGGGTTGTTAGGGGTATCTCTGGTGGGAGACAGAAAGTAGTGCAGCAGAATGTACAGCTAGAGAGAAAGAATGTTGCTAGTAGAAACACCCGAATAGAGTTTCAGACACTGCTAGTAAAAACAAGTAGCTGTCGATGTCACCAGCCCCTACTTGCCCCTCCCCTCCCAGCCACTCCTTGCCTGCCCACCTGGGTTCCTTAGGGCCCCAACAGGTAGCAGTTGTTGGAACTAAGCAGCCACCATTAGAAAGAGTTGGCAAAACAGCTCAGTTCAAATTAGATCTGACGACTGAGAAGGAGGCTCAGCAGAAGCACCTCAATGAGGACTAGCAGCATAGGCTTTCCAAGCAGACAGAAGATCTGTGGGAGTGCAAAGCCAGGTACCTGCGCTTGGAGGCTCAGCGGGTTGAGATGGTCAGCCAGTTCCAGGCCATGATGCAGTCCCACTGGAACAAGGCCTTCCCGCTCTTCACCACCAGTGGTGCTTCCCTCTAGCCTTCGCCCAAAGTCCCTCATCAGGAGACTGAAGCCAAGTCAGAATTTCTGCCCCCCTCCAACCCTCACAAAAAGACTCCAAAGGGAAGACTCTCTGCAGCAACACAAGCATTCTCTGTACATATCCAGTCCAGGGGCTGTAATTTCAGGACCCGATTTAGTGCAAGATAAAAAATGCAAATAATTTTTCTGCAGATCACCACCATTTTTTCGCAGACCACCGGTGGTCCACGGACCACTGCAGGAGAGAACAATGCAATACAATAGCAGAGTTGGAAGGGATCTTGGAGGTCTTCTAGTCCCACCCCCTGCCTAGGCAGGAAACCCTATACCATCTCAGACAAATGGCTATGCAACATCTTCTTAAAGACTTCCAATGTTGGGGCATTCATAACTTCTGGAGGCAACTTCTGTTCCACTGATTTAATTGTTCTAACTGTCAGGAAATTTCTCCTCAGTTCTAAGTTGCTTCTCTCCCTGATTAGTTACCATCTGTTGCTTCTTGTTCTACCCTCAGGTGCCTTGGAGAATAGTTTGACTCCCTCTTCTTTGTGGCAACCTCTGAGATATTGGAACACTGCTATCATGTCTCCCCTAGTCCTTCTTTTCATTAAACTAGACATACCCAGTTCCTGCAATCATTCCTCATATGTTTTAGTCTCCAGTCCCTTAATCATCCTTGTCTGCACACTTTCTAGAGTCTCCACATCTTTTCTACACTGTGGGGACCAAAACTGAATGCAGTATTCCAAGTGTGGCCTTACCCAGGCCTTATAAAGTGGTATTAACACTTCACGTCATCTTGATTCTATCCCACTTTGTATGCAGCCTAGAACTGTGTTGGCTTTTTGGGCAGCTGCTGCACACTGCTGGCTCCTATTTCAATGCTTGTCCACTAGTCCAATCGGGTTATTTGACAATAGTGATATATTACCCAATGTACAATCCATTTACATCCAAAAACAAATAAATCAATAGAAAATATGCTATTTCTACAAAATTAAACTGGTTTGGTCCAGAGCTTCATTGTGGTGCCTTCTGTTAGCATCAAGTCTATGTTGGTTACCACCAGTTGATGGCCGCTGCTCTGGACAGCCTTGCAGCAATCAAGTGAAACCAATCAACTAACATAATAAATTATCTTTCCTAAGGATTCTAGCAAGGCATGGATGAATGGTCAGGTCATCCTTGTTCAAATATTGCTGGAGGAAAATAAAGCTTATGATTTTTTCCCCCTTTCTTTTCTCAGTGCTGCATTTCCCTGCAAGATCTCACCAGCCTACCCTTCATGTGTATTAATTAGGGGAAAATGTTATGCCTGCCACATACCCAACTCTTTGGTTTGGCCTCCAATTATCTGTCAGCTCATAGAGGCATTGCCCTAATCAAGGGATGAACAGTAGGTGTCCTGAAGAATGTATTCTATTTAATCTCCATTTTTCCCCCAACGCCATCAAAAAAAAGACTGCATAAGCTGCATAATTAACTTTGCAAATCCGTCATTGCATAATGCGGTAAGGACGATTAAGGGAGGCTGTTTGAATGCTTAGACCTCCATTCAAGCAGGGCTGTTAGGAAGAAACAAGAATGTCTAACCTTGTAAAAATGGGGTTTTAGTTCTAGCTACAAGAAGCAAACCAGGGGTGAAATGCTACCAGTTCTGGGCAGTTTGCCTGAACCAGCAGTTAAAAAATGTTTTTAAAGAGTTTTTAAAAAGTTCCAACGATCAGCTGTGACAATCAGCTATACCCTGCGATCGTCTGAACTTTTTAAATTTTTTAAAGCATTTTTTTACTACCTATAGTAAAACCGGTAGTTAAAAAATGCTTTAAAAAATTTTTTTTAAAAAAAACTTGGCCATGCCCACCCAGTCACATGATCCACCCACCAAACCACGCCCACAGAACCGGTAGGGAAAAATTTTGAATTTCACCACTGAAGCAAACTCAGCTTAACTGTTATTTTCTTCCTAATCTTCTTGGGATATATTGGTCAGGCTTTTGAGCTAAGTCAAGGAAGGCCATTGGAGTGCTCTTAAAACACTTAAGAGATTGAAATGGAAATCACTATTTGTGGTTTGCTAGCTGAGGAATTCTGGGAGTTGAAGTCCACAAGTCTTAAAGTTGCCAAGGGTGGAAACCAGGGGTGGGTTCCTACCAGTTCTAACCTCTTCTATAGAAGAGGTT